AAAACTACAAAAATACTCACACTTTTGATCTTCGGGACAAATTTGTCCCCATTTAAACCCATTAAAAACACTATGTGGTGACCGACCTTCAGGGTGTTGCTGCTGCTGCAGGCCCTTCTCACAGCAAACCAAGGGCAGAAAGCCATGTATTTTCAACTGGACACTTTCAACTTCCAGTTTTTATAGTTGACCAGCAGATAGTGACGTCAGACCATGTTCAATTCCCGCAGCGAAATACTGCCAATTACTACACTTTTCCACTGTTTTTTGTATTAGGATGACTTGCTAATAATGCATGAAAATGATAGTGTGGATCACTACTGATGATATATCAATGCATTTTTGTCTGTGTGTGTGTGACTATACGTGAGTAGGTCTGCGCATGCATGTGCATGCAGACGTATATGTGTGCGCGCGACGTAAAAACAACCAAGTAGTTGTGTGTCGGTCCAACTTCATAAGTGTTTTCCTTTAGAAGGCCACATTCTGTGTTTGATAATAATTCAAGATGAGAAACAAAACACCAAACATGGCTGACTCCTCTCGGCTCCGCTCGGATCTGCACATGCTCACTCCATGCGTTGTGGGTGCATTCATGAGTGTCCGACTTCATAAGTCTTTTGTCTTAGACGGTCACATTCTATAAACGATGTAAGATGAGAAGCCAGAACCCAGACAAATTTGGATTCTCGTTCGAGTTGTGTGTGCAGGTGCACTGCAGCCAAAGGTATAAGTATAAGCAGTAGTGCGGGAGTAGTCTGTGGTATTAGTAGCTGGAAAGATGGCAAAACATTTCAGCGCAAGAGAAACTTGGGATGCAATCATGCAGAGTGAGAGCGAGTTGAGCCGGCCTGGAAATGGCAGAAGTCACACAGGAGGAGCCTCTTGATCGAAAAAGTAGGAGGAGGGCTGGTGACGCCCCACATCAAGTGACAAGTGCACCGCCCCCACTCAGCAGCCGCAAGTGTGGTGACCGACCTGCAGGGTGCTGCTGCTGGCCCTTCTCACAGGAAACCCAAGATCAGAAAGCCATGCTTCTTTTGTAAAGACAAGAGAAAAGCAGGACATGTATGCTGCAAATGTGAGAGGTTCCTGTGCAAGGACCACAGCATGTGGATCTGCAGCCCTTGCTCAGGAGCAGGAGAGTGAGGTGTTAGTGTTCAATATTTAGTGTTCATCTTTGTAAAATAAGTGTTTTCTGGTTCAAACTGATCTTGCATTTGAAATTGTAAAATAAATGTTTTCTGGTTCAAACTGATCTTACATTTGAAATGTATTTTTAGAACACAACAGGGTAATAATATATATTTTTACAGTTGTTTTTGGGAAGTGGGACAAATTTGTCCTGAGGGTAACCTGTGTACAGTGATATTGTAAATCTGCTACTTGTTGGACTTAACCGTCCTGCATGTTCATTTCTGAGGAAGAGTCAAAGTCAGAACAACCTTTAAGATATTTATTACAATGTTAAGGAAAAACAATTCCAGAGCGCTCTGGGTTCCACTGACACACTGCATATAATTAAAAAATGCATCCAAATCTGTGTTGCTACCAACCATTGACCCATCTCAGGGCCTAGTAATAATAATAATCAATTACTGGTTGAAATGTATTTTTTGGAAAATATCTTAGTTTTTTGTTTTTTTCCATAAAGAAACAGTGGAGTTATGTAAACATACTGGCATATAAAGGGTTAAAAATTCCAAATTATATATATATAAATTATACATTTGAAGAAAAAAAAAAAACTTCTAACAACATATTTTCAGTTGTCATTAGAAGTTATTAAGTGTACGTTGATGGACAAAATGGGCATTTTATCAATTTAACATTTAATCCAGAACACAAAGTGTGTAAATGCGTCTGAGCACTTTCTGGATCCACTGTAAGTATCACATTATGTTTGAGACTGTTTTAATTCCATTTTCATATGTCAGGCTTCATTTCATTAGCCTTTCACAAAGCCAGTTTTCTAAAGCCCAAACTCATGAGGGGAAGCCACCTCAAATACTTTCAAAACAGCAGCTGTCCATTTACTCAATTGTCTGTGTGTGAGAGTTATTGTGCAAGACTTTTCCATATGGGACAACTCTATGGTTAGCAGTGGCATACTGTACCATAATGTTCTTCTGTACCTGGGCATACTGTTAATACGCTGTTAAGTAGTACAGTAAGTATTTAATGATTTATGTCTCACTGCTGCACTTGTCCGGGGTCAAAACTTCACAGTGTTGCTTCACTTCCCTTGTTCGCCCCCATTATGAAACATGTCCACCTCTCTTCTTCTAGCTGTCTGCCTGCTGGATTTTTCTTCTTTGTTCTTTTTTTCCCCCACCAGGTATGCAAACACCTCATCCTGCAGTACTTTCCCATCTCTTTTTTTTCCTTAACCTTCCTTCCTCTCCTCCCTGGTAATGGCAGTAGTTCACAGCTCAGCCCCCGTAATGTCTTTGGACTGTCCACTGACACATCTCTGGATCGCTGGATACAAACCTGCATAGCAGTAATACAGTCGTGCAGGGTAAAGGCAGAGATGGAGGGAGGATGGGGAAATGTACCTCTGACTATGATTCAGCCTGGATGGAAGAATGGGGTTGGGGATGAAGAAAGCAAGGGATTCCCCGTCATTTAAATGACACCCAATCAGGGTGATTATTGAGAGTGCTGGCTGCGTCTGCTGGCTTTAGCTCCGGGATGCTGTGGTCAGCTGGGCTGTACAGTACATAAATGACACATGGTGAGACAGGAGGGAATGCTTTGATACACATTATATGCAAATGTGTATGTAGGTGTATTCATTTCCATGTAATTGTACATTCATATGTGTATGTATTCAAGCATTTAGCTTACTTCTCTGTTTGTACTTATGTGTGTCTGTGTCTGCACTTAACACACGTGTGCTTGTCTCCTTTTATACATGTATGTTTGTGAATGAAAGATGATTCAGTTTGGGAATTCCGCTGTGCTGTCTAATAAATCCTAGCCATGAAAATAAAGCTGATGTCCACAGTTCAGTAAGTAGTCTCGAACAGCTCTCTCTGCACCACAACACCAGAAGATATTAGCAAGTAAACTGCCAACTTGTATCAACAGTGTCCTTCCTGAGAGAAATGACTCATCCCTATATACATCTCTCTCTATATCTATTTATCTATATGTATATATATGTGTGTGTGTCTTTTCTTGAACACCCCTTCCTTCCTCCCTCATTGTGTAATTGAGCTCTGATGTTGAATAAGATGTTCCTTCCTTCTGTCAGTGAACCAAGTGTGGAAAGATGTGAGTGCTCTTGTTTGTCATATCTTCATCCAATCATAGATCAATTGCGCTCTCTCACCCTCTGGTTCTGTCCTTGACACTCTCCCTCAGTCCAAGCTTGTCTGTTTGTCTTCTCATTTGTCAGCTCCTCTTGTGCTCCTTTCATGTGCCTTTCCATCTCTCCCTCAGACCTCATATATCCTGCCCTACCCCCAGGTGAACCCCAAGCTCAGAGTAGTCAGTGTTTCCTGAAAGGACTGAGATATAATTAAGGATTTTTCCCAACTAGAAACACCTCTGTCCTCCTGATCAGAACACCATGGACTTGCCCTGCTGTGTTTGTTCAAATGAATCTGGGCTGTCAGACATACACAGTGCTTCATTAACAGTTAAATAACAAAGAAATATTAGGAGATAAATCATCTTTTTTTGTGCACTTGTCAAAGGATAAGCTAGATTTTTGACTATATGCTCATCTTTCCTTTCCTAATGTCACATTATACCATGCAGATGGGCTTTGGTGTGTTTGGAGGTGCCCAGTGTTTACAAAAATTACCTTCTCACTATTATGCTGTATTAGTGGTGGTTTATCTTTATTCTGTTATCCTGTTTAAAGTCCAACATAAAATGATAAGAACTGTAACACACACTGGAACTTTTACTTAGGGACTTAAACAGGCCATTGCCTTCTTTTACCTTCCTAGACATATTGTAGCAGACTGGAGTGAGAATTTCTGGTGCTAAGAGGTGAAATAAAAGCTTTCTTCTTAGAGCATTATTGGTCTTCTAGTGTTGAGGTTTCCTAATGGGCTGCTGCTGTAGCTTTATCTGACCAGGTCAGCCCTCCCTTGTCAGCGAGTAGAAGAAGAGTTTTCAGTCCACTGATTGATGGGCCTGAAAAGACAGGTTCAGGACAGCCTGTGATGACAGTGCCACACCTCTATTTTAATGGGAAGGACAGATCACTTTGTTTTTATGATTTGGGGGCTTTAGCTATTTTTGGTTCTTTCAGGATGAGTAGGTGTTTGATTCCTCTGTCTGGATCCTATCAGGGTTTTCTCACTGTCATCATGTCTGCTAAACCATTCAGCAGCACTGACTTCAAACTGGAATCTATGCAGCTTCCAAATGGAAAGTATGATGCCAAAACACCTGTGTTCAAGGAGACACAAAGCAGACACACTTGTTCATCTTATTAACTGATGGATGCGTTGCATATTTTTAACTTGAGACCCAAATATTGTTAAAATTTGGTCTTTCTGGAAAGCTATAAAGTTTAATTTAAAAAAAATCCTCTCTACAGACCAGTCCTTAATTTTTCATCAGTCACTGGACTGTTCATTAGGAAACATATAGGCAAAGATGTGGACATACACACATAATTGTTAGAGGAAAAACTATGCAAATTCAAATCATGTCAGATGAGCACATGAGTTTTGAGGCAAGTGATGTGGTAAATGTAATTCTACTGAATGATCTGTTGCTTTGGCATTACAGTGCCAGACCGTTATAAAAGAGCTTTGTAAAATCAGAGGCAAGCATGTGTGCTACTAAATTTTAATGTATTCATTTTAGTTGTTTAGGCATTTTAGTTTCAGAGTTTCATGGTTGCACGTGTATTAAAGAACTGTGGTAGTTTTTATATAATTGAAGGCAACAATATTTTGCACTGAAACAGCAACTGATTTAGAATATTTTTCCCATCTACCATTTACCTTCTGTTTTTTCTCCCATTTACCTAGATGCAGTTCAGGCTGCCTCTGTGCTGCTGGAGCTGCAAGATGTGTTGGTGAGAACAGGGCTGAAGGACCGACACCGTCTTCTGCTGGGGCCATTCTCCTGCAGCACCTCCCTGGAGGCTCGGTTTTGTCGGCACAGTGGCAGCCCTGGACCTGAGCCTGGCTCCCCTAAACTGCTGTTGGACTTGAAGGGAGGACTGCTACAGGTTTGCCCATGCAATCACTTCAGATTTATTACCCAGTGCAGCTACATTTTTTACAGGTCAGTGTCTGATCAGCACCTCTGCACCTGGTTGGAATTGAGTGTCTTGCTCAAGGACACTTCAATGGAGAGCTTGAATGAGGCCCTTCCAGGGTAAAGAGCAGCCTCTAATCATGAGACGGTGCGGTTGACCGCTAAGACGTCACCTCAGCTTGAGTGCCTTTAGACACAGCTCATCACAGCCTTAACACTCCACTTAAATCTGCTGTCCGTCATGGCTTCTGTCCTCTTTGTAACTGAAGTGACGACAGAGGAATTGCAAGATGTACTTCCACTGTACTGTATATTAGAGTCACATCTGCTAGATACTGTAAGTGGTGGAATATTATATGGCTATTTGTAGAGGGGTTGTATCTGATTGTGCCTATTTTTCCTGTGAGAAGTTACATACTGTCCACACTGAAAAGTCCCTTTTCAATGTGACTAACTGAAGGCATTATTACTAATGTATTATTCCGTATTACTTCATCGGGGGGAACCCCCTCACCCTGCTTCCTTTAATGCATTTATTGCGTGCCCATCAACAGAGATCCATCATTTGCAATTCAACATTTAATACATAATCATACAATTCCTTTTGCAAATTTTGGTGCTTGTGGCGTTTTAATCAAGTGCTGTATAAAACCACCGGAATTCCTTCCGATTCCTTTTTCTCATGCTGTCTTTCCAAAAACTTCAAAAAAATCCCCAAATGTTCCTGTTTTTAGAGTTTAGTCATAACCCACCCTTGCAGGCTAGTGAGTAGCATGCACACAGGCAGGCAGCTCCATGTGTGAAGAGTTTTTGACTCAGAGATTCCTGGTTCTTAGTCCAAACCCCAGGCAGACCCACTCTGATGGAGCATGGGAAGGGAAATGCTGCGGGTAAGCAAGGACGATGTAAGTTTATGTTGGGTAATGTTTGTAAGGATGTGGAGGGGTGATGATGAGGGTAACTCTGCCTGCCTCTCTTCCTGTTTTGGAAAAAGTTTTATAAATGTTGACACAGGTATTGATGCATCAGCTGTGTCACTATTTAGTTTTATTTTCGATACTCGCCATCATCTCTCTTTTTCTTCAGTTTTTACATCATTCTCTGTCTTGGCCTCCATGTTTTCCTCTGTCTCCTCTCATTCCTTATCCCACACTCTTTACTTGCCATTCTACCCCATCCATCTTACTCTTTTCTTTTTTCTGTCTTGATAGGTCTTTTGGGGCCAAGAACATCTGAACTGCCTGAATCTGGTCGAGGAGCACCTACGGGCATACCTTCACCTTGAGAAAGGGGATTCAGCTGATATTTTTTCAAAGGGCAAGCCCTGCCACACCCAGCCGCCTCCCTCCCCAGGCTCGCTTTCTCCTCGGACAGAACACAGCTCAGATGACTTGCGCACAGGGCATTTTCAGTACCTCCAGTACTCAGGTGAATGTTTACACAGTGCATGCAGAGATGACGTGTAGCTCATAGTGTGTGTACAGTATCTATGCCAAACCTGTATGTAGGTAAATCAAAGATTGACTGCCAGTGATGTTTGCTTTGTTGGCTACAAACAGACAAAACTACTGTACTTTTTAAAGGAATTTTTCCAAGTCTCAATGTAAAATGATATGTGGACATATATTCCTACTTATTTCTTGACACAGTTTTCAAAATGGACAGGACAATCGTAAGCACTGGTCCCTCAGTCTATAGAATGAAAAATAAAAATAGTCCATCACATGACCATCTCATGTAACTGAGTCGGGCAAACTAAAAAAGAACCTTTGTGACAAAGTGAGATGTCACTTAAGATACACATCGGCTTAAATCAAAGTTAGATCAAAGCCCTCTGTGGTTTCGTCGGACATGTCTGCCTGGTTCCACTCTGAGTAACATGCTGTTTATTCCCCCTCTTTGTGCTTTGTGTGTGCTATCCTCTGTGTGCACACACATTATATACAGAGGATCAAACTTCTCTCTGGCTGTAGACCAGCCGTCCACTCTGTCAGCTGTGGTTGAGTCTTTGTTTGTTGCACCGTTCCATTGGTCTTTGATGCATTTAATATGCTGGCTGAAGCAGGAGAATGTACAGTAGTGAACCAGCATAGAGACGACAATCTGTCTGCAACATGTTGTCATCAGCCTGGGACAACCAGGCCCCAATGTACAGAGAACAGCGAGTGGCTGGTCAGAGGAGCAGATGAACAACGGATGGAGAGAAGGGCAGGAGGACTCTGTCTCTGCCGCTCACTTTCTCCAGGTTCAAGCAAATGCAAATGAAAGCAAAACCTCATGAATGTGTGTGTGTGTGTGTTTGTTTTGTTTTCATCCCCCCTTTTTTCAAGGGGACAATACGCTGTCCACCTTGGAGTGGACCTGCCCCTTAAAAAGTATTTCCTGTTAAGAGTCTCAATGTTTGAACCTCCAGGGGCCAAACAAAACAGCAGTTTTCTGCTTTACTTTTTTTTCCAAAGGACTTGAATCCTAAACAGCAGCCTCAACTTAAGTCAAACACCACTCAGAAGTATAGATCCAGTGGTATCCAGCTGCTGCAGGTAGAAGGCATGGTTAAGTCAGTGGTTGTTTACTCAGTTACTCAAACTATTTTGTTTACACATATAGACATTCTGTAAGCATGGACACATCCACTGTGCTCCTTTAAGAGATATATCTTGAGGCTATAGCCGCAGTAGAAAAAAAAACATAAAAACATCACTGAATCAAAGATGTATGCAGGTCAAATAAAGTTCTTATTGTCTTATCCCTCCCACCATATGTTTCCCTTCTTTTGTTTTTACATGTTCCTATAAAGCACAGTGTAAGCTTTGCTTATTGTTGGCTGTGAATGATTCTTTCCTTGCAGCGACCCAGAGGTTGCCAGGACCCAATGAGGTGGTGTTCTGCAGTGAGACAGATGACCACCCAGGTGCAATGCTGTGGAGATACCCTGAACCCCGCGTTCTTACCTTTGTCAGGATAACTCCTGTCCCTTTCAACACCACAGAGGACCCTGAGATCAGCATGGCTGACCTAGGGGATGTCCTGCAGGTACAAATGTATACATGTACTGTATATGTTGATTAGAAGAAATGTTAACATGTTTTACTCCCAGTACAAACCACAGCCAGTGGTAAAGTAAAGAGCAGATATATGTTAAACATCCAGCGCTTTTAGCAGGGTATGTAGTCGTCTGCTACTAGGAAAAGGGTAAGAGAGGTGGAAAATGAGAAGAGAAGCCACACATCTCACTCAGTGCTCCCTACTTAACATCACCTGCAATCAAAGAGAAATAAACTGTCTTAGAGCTGGGCTGCATGCCATTATAATTCCCATACCATGAGTCATGAGAACTCCCATACCCTGCGTATTATTGAATGACAGCACACCCCTGCTGTCCCTCCAAACATGTAATACATGGTCTGACAGCTGTGGAAGTCATTTTGCACACTCTGGTGTCAATAGCCAGGTGTCTCCAGCCCCAGATGAGGTTATGTTTTGGCAGGCTGCAGCAGCTACTGAGTCTTTAGGGCCTCGCTGGGGGACTGGACATCCCACTTTTCCTCCTATCACTCATCTTTCCCCTGTTTGTCTCCCTCCTTGCTGTCCAGCTTATCATCCTTGAAGGCAAGCTCAGTTCCAGTTTGCACTGTTTCGCATCCTCCTCCATATTTGTTCCCTATTCCTACAGCAAAAATATTTTTGGATTAAACTGACACTGTCACGATATAACTCGGTCTTTTTTTTATTTTTTTTATGAAATCTCTGGTAATGTGCAAATCCTTTTTTTGTGTCTACTAAGCTAAAACTATCATAAAATGTGATACAAGGAGAGGTCAAACATATGCAGTAATAAAATCAACTGGTGTAATGCATTCACATGCATAATTACAATAACTGGTAAGTGTTACTTCACTGGTATCACATTATATTTAGTATAACAAAGTCAATCCCAACAGAGTTTTGTAAAACATGACTCCTTCCTAATAAAGTAAAGTATTTATCACACATTAATGTTATATCTCATGTTATTATGTTATTCTGAAATTATAGATCATTTCTTCGAACCTTTTAATCAAATTTGTTTTAACTTTAAGGTCAGGTTATCTTCCCTGTTCCTTGTCCTTCTGCTTTGTTACTTCATCTGCAGCACAAGTTTCTCATCATTCCATATACTCCCTTTATCTCCCAGATTCTTTCCTGGACTCCCACAATCATTTCACCTACAGTACAGATGTTTTCTGCAGTCTGTTTATGTGCGCTGCCCCAGGAGAGGCAAGACAAGGTTCTGCAGATGTCTGACTTCCCAGCGAGGCCCCACAGCTGTAAAGTCTGTAATGAGCAAAACTCCAAAGCCTCTAGCTGATTGGCCACATATTGAGTTACAGTAGAGAACAGAGAGAGCTGACGTGCGTGTGTGTGTGTGTGTGTGTGTGGTGGTGGTGGTGGGGGGTGGAGAAAGAGGTGGTGATAGACAGTGTTGGGATAGGTGAGGGTAGTTAATGGGAGTAGATTGACAGGAAGGAAGAGAGGAACAGAGGCTTCTGTTACAGGATCTGTGTGAAAATACAGTTTATCTAGTAAAGGGGGGAGGGACAGATGAAACCATACTTTTAAGTTCTATCTATATGTGTGTGTGTGTGTGTGTGTGTGTGTGTGTGTCATATTCTTATGTATGTGTTACACAGCGGGAGGCCAGCGGCTGATGAACATGTGGTTTCTACTTCTCCCATTCCTCCTGTCATCTGGCACAGTCTATTCTGACAAGTCTGTTAAAAGGAGTCAGATGATGAGACTTCCACAGGGGAAGTGGTGAAAAGAGGAGGCACCAAACACCCAGCTATTACTGCAACTACTTCATGTGGGGATGAGATGCAGTGGGTGACTTCAGACTCAGTCTGAAGACAAAAGTCGTTTTCAAGGATTTAAATGGGTGCAGTTGTTACTGACAACTAAGAAAACTGTCATAAGAGTTGTGCAGCATTAATTAACATCTATTTCAAAGAAAATACAAGTTGTACTAATAGAAACCACTGACTGTTGGTCCATCAAAAATGCCTCCTAATTCTGCTGCTTGTGTTTCTGTAACATCATGGGTACATGATGGCCATAATGGGAGCTGAACCAGTTGGAATGTTTCACAAACGCATCATTGGTAACATTCATGAAAATCATCACTTACAGCGTGTGTATGTTAAGCTGATTTACATCCGTTGTTAAAAGCTACTCGGATGCATTTTGTCAGCTCTCCTAAAACCAGATTTCTTCAAAGAAGTGTTTTTAAACTAATTATTAGACATGGGAGCTGTGCACTGATATGTTGGCCAGTCTTACCTTCCTCATATTTCTGTCCAAACAGTCACGTGGCATTAAGCTTAGTTGTGTGTGAGGCAAGGCTTTGGATTCATGGGGATTATTTTAACTGGAACTCTTGATCATTGGCCAAAGTCATTGCAATCCCAGATTTAATTGATTTCAGCCTCTGTGAGACAATGATTATGCTTTGGGTTCACAGAGACTTCAGAAGTCTCATTTAATTCTTTTTTCCTCCCAAGGCCAGAAGAAAGTCCTGCTACAGAGAACGGAAATGCAGTCTTAAAAATAAAAAAAAACAGTAATGGTTCCAAAGGAATTTCAATTACTTTACATCAAGGCTGTGCAGAAACAGAGAGAGAGCAGTAAGGAGAGAAAAGGCAGTCATAATTTCTCAGGCCTCTAAAATTACCATGTGGCCACATGGAGATGGAGGCTGATAGATTTTGAGAAAAGGAAAATGAGACATAAGGAAAGAGGGATATTAGGTATTAAGCTGCCTTGTCATTCTTCACTCTCATTTAGGCAGTAATGTTTTTCCAGTTTCAGGCTGTTTACCATCAGGTGGAGGGTGAAAAAGATTGCAGATGGACAAAATAAATGTGGAGTTTCTCTACATTTTCCCCTTGTCATTCTGTTCTTCCTACCCACCTCTCTCTTCTCTCTCCTTTTGTTACACCCCCCCCCTCTTTCTTTCGTTTGCCCCCTCTCTTCAGCATTGTGCACAGAATAGATGAAGGTGGGGTTGTTGGGGTCGTTCTTGCTCTGAGCCGCGCTGCTCCCTCGTCCCCAGAGTAGATCATATTAACATTTTATAAAATCAAGATTTCCTGCATTTAAATAGTTGTGGTTTCCCAAATGGTTCCAGTATCTCGGAGGGGGGATTCAAACCTCCTTCCATTACTCAAAGTCAAGCTGCTGCCTGCGCTGTTTTTACATACAGTAGAGCAGGAGCGTCAGAATGATGGGGGGGCAGCTGAAAAGTGACAGATCCTGAGGCATGCGCAGGCTTCCACCTGTAGAGTGCTCAAATGATGCGGGGATAGAAGGAGAGAGTAAGGTGACTCATTCTCACCTTCCCACCACCATGTGTTCCAGCTCTCTGAATCATGAGCAGGTGTCCTTGTTGCTCTTTTTCCATCCCTCTCATTTGTCTTCCCCTTCCTCTGCCTCTCTGTGGGGTTCTGAAGCCTGAGAAACTGGGAGTAAACACAGGAGCTATGATTCAGCCAGACCGCAGCTCAAGGGAGCAGAAGGAAGAGATAGAGTATGTTGAAGTAGAGAGCAACAGCATGAGTCTCAGCACGTTGTAAAACAAATGCAACACATTTGCCTTTTACCCACACTGGCTTTTCTCAATATGCAAATGTTTAAATTCGGTCATCCACTTGCTTTTTGATGCAGTTGCCCAAACGCTCTTGACTTTTTCAGACAAACATCACACCATCTGCTGGCCGGCTGTTGCTTTCGTGCATGGCACTGTGAAATAACCTTCCATGTTGCATCCTGGCCCTGCTTGCCTGCGACTAATATCATAAAAGCCCTGTGGCCTGAGATGAACCAGCAACCTTCAGCTGTAACCACCACCACAGCTGTTGTATCTGTCATTGTTGTTGTTATGAGAAACACAGGTCCACCATCAGCTTCACATCCAGAGCACACCCCTTGTTAGTGATGCATACAGTTTCTCCAGTTAGTAGAAATATGCCACCTTTTGTAGCGAGTGAAAATCAGAAGGGACTCAGTGAGCTATTTCCCTTCAGAGCGACACACTGAACCAGAAAGAGCAAGAGTGTATTTGGGCCAAGATAACTATTATTTTAGCAGGACAGAGCTCAGGCAGAACTGCCTTAGTCACAGCTAATGCACTATAAAAATAAAAAACTGTCCATGTGGCTAATTTGATCTGGAGTTCTTACACCTCATTCATCAAAACTCCAGTCCACCTTCAAAAAAAAAAGTAGAGCGCGAAGATCCCAGCATGGGCTTATTGTTGATTATCCATGCTGATTATTGCTAACATATATTAGCCCACCTGAGACAGCATAGCAGGAGTCATTTTCAGAACAATTTTCATTACATCTCCTGAGTAAACATTTTCTTCAGCCGATGTCAATTCAATTTTTCTGCTGGCTGATAAGAAGTAGCTAGCAGTGGAATTTTTAGACATATAGGCATCAGTGAAATAACAGAAGACCTAATAGCAATGTTGATATTGTTAATAAAAGTAATGGCAGACAAGACTGTGGATGTCAGCAGCCACAGCCTCAGAGGGAGCTCAGGGAGTCTTCAGTTGCAGAGACAAATTTGAACTGAGCGGGAAGCACACCTGGGTAGATCATGGATATTGAAATCATTTGGTTTAGTTTGCCTGCCTTTTTAGAAACTCTGATTGGACATTTAATCCCAGAAAAGTAAATCTGTGCAGAATAGTAGTTTGGCAGAAACAGAGGTGGGTGACAGGGATTGAAATCAGGTCTACTCAGTGTTGCCAGTGTTGCCAGTGCTCTCAGATGTGCAGTAAATACAGTAAATATTTGTAAATAGTTCTGAATTTTTTAATGTCTTGGAAAGCCCTCATCTTCACTACCCAGGCATTTGAACCACTTCCAAGATCAAACCTTGACTCAGAATTTAAGATAACATTTAAGATATCTCTGTGGCTGATATTTTTCCCTGACGTCTAGCTGCCAGGGCCACTCTGAAGAAAACACAGATTGGACCTGTCCAGCCAGCAGAATGTCAGCTATCCAGGGTTACATATTGTTTATCAGATAAGGTACACACACGCAGTCAAGCAGTGGAAACTGACACTGCCTAGACTGTATCATGCACATACATACATTCGCACACCTGTGTATACACATATCTATGATTATCTCTCATACTCTATGTGCAGCTCTACAGTCATAATGCATATACACAATACATTTGACATGTATAGAGGTCCTTCTCATTCCAAAACCCAGGCCAGACATCCAACTCAACATAGTTAGAGCATTTCTTTCTTTATTTTTTCATCTTCCATCATCCCTGCAACATTTTTGAACTGGTTATTGATTTTAACTCTCCTCTCCTCCGAGGCCAGGACTGGAGGTCAAAGGGAACTTCATGCAAAATCAACCATGCAAATGTATTCCACTGTATGTCACATTTTCTTTTCTGTATGCCGTTATGTTACAGAATATCACAGGTGGAAAAAAAACAGCCTCTGTGTTTTAGCAGTGCAGTTCTGGGAATTGGAATTGAAGATTCAGTGAGTTTCTTCCTCACTGGCTCAGCATTGAGGTTGTGGGTGCACAACTCTGTCAGGTACAATTATGAGAATCTGATTCCAGGAAAACCTGTGCGGCACTTCATGCATGATGTAAACCACAGTTACCTCATCTGTTCCTCTCTAACAATGCAACCTCACACATACGAATGTATGAACCCATTTGTGCACATATGCACATACACCAACTTGTTGACAATTCCATCAGTCTGGTAATTGTATAGGGGGCTCATTACTCCTGGTTAGTTAACTGTTGGTTTGTCACAGATACATGTGCGCAGACATGTGCACTTCCTCATCCATACAGTATATACCACACACACCTGGCATCGTTCAGGTGTGCTCTAAGAGCACCCTGCCACTACTGATCCATCAGTAGCAGAGTCGTGCAGGTGGCCAGAGGAACCTAAGAACCTGGATTAGTTTACGTAGGAGCACCGGGCACATTTATGCTAATTTTGGTTCCATGTGACAAGAATGAATGGAGCCCTACCAGTGAGTGCTCTCACTGGTAGGGCTCACATTGTTATTCAGTGTGAGAAACCGCTCCAGGACTTCAATGTCAATCGCTGTCTTGTAGGATACAGTTGCTCTGTAGGTTTAGTTATGCTGTGGTCATGCGGTGTAGTTCTAGTGTTGGTGGTCTGTGGTCAGTGTGTTGTCATTTTTTCCAACTAGATGCAAAATTAAAGTTTGCTTTGTCTGAAGTGAGTAAAACTCATGGCTGTAACACAGATAACATTACAATCACTTGCTCGTTTCTTCTGCAAGGTGGGGATTAGCCTTCTGTCTTTAAAGGGTCAATAAAGATCACTTGATGATTCGCAGGCCACTGCAGTTGATTTACGCTTTGTGTGACTAGGGGCTTAACAGAACTGAACAACTACTCGTGTATTAACAAAGCCTTACAGTAATCCTGCAGTAATGTTATGCTGAGGGAGTTACAATAGTCTCTTTGTTTGGACTGGAGCCTTTGCTTTAAGTGATGGCCACCTGAGGAATACAGTGGTAAGATATCCAATAGTGTCCATTTGCAGATGAGACTGCATTATATGGGGAATATAAATACTCTCAATAAAATGTGTCATCAGATGGAGCAAAGCCACCAGTTAAAGAGAGGATTATCTGTGGGATCCACTGGTAGAACACAGCATTAGTTCTACTACAAAACCATACATACTGTAAATGGGTCCTCTGACATGATGAGCATTCAGATATATTTGACAACGATTTGAGTTTTAGCATACAAAAGGGGCTGGACCATATGGCCTAAAATATTATCACAGTATAGGTTTTTTTCTACACATTGTGTGTGTATCTCAGGGATACACACACACAGTGTGTAGAAAAACTGATGGTTACCTCTGTGACCTGAACGTGTTCTTAGACATGAGGAAACAAACTGGGACCACATTTTATCCAGCTTTAAAAATCCAAACCACTTCCAAATCAGTGATGTTTTATGGCCTCTCTTCGCCACAGTGTCACCATCTTCCGCAGGCGTCTGGTTGCTCATTTGTATGTTTTCAGCAGCATGTGTGTTTTTTATTTTTTAGGCTCTACATGTGTTTGCTACATGTGCAGTACTCAGCAGTTCATCTTCGTTATGCTGGAATTCTTTTTTATTGCAGTAAATACCAAGACCATTTGATTGCCCAGCCCTATTATGAGATCATCATGAAAAACATGGCCTCACATTTCCTCCAAGCTCCAAGTGATCTGTGATCACTACACTGTGTTCTGTATTAAATGGTTTTCAGCTCTGCTAGCTGGCTGTAAAGAGGGAGAAGTGAAACAAGGATGGTAGACCCTCACGCTCAAGTGATCCCATATTCTACATGTACTGTAAATGCTAGAAGTCATTATTGACTAGTGAGCTTAGTTGTGTATTCTAGATGAGAGAGGAGGGGGTTTGTTTAACCCGCAGAGATTTATTGAGCTTTTCCAAGGACTTGCAACAGTTAATTATCTGTCCCAGTGCTGCCTGTACAAGAATGAAGCTACCACGCCTGTGTAACTCTCTGCTGTTTGTCAGTTAAAATGCTTTGTAGTAACAGCGTGAGGTATTCTACTTTTTAAAGAATAAAAAATACAAAACATCCTTTTAAATGTTTTTATTACACTACTTTTATACAGTTTTAACCTTTATTAATGTTTTTTTCTCATTTTATTTTAACAGCATCTATTTTTGTAGTTTATGAGTTTGTTTGTTTTTTTATTATGCTGATCCCCAAAAGGGATCGGCCACAAAGTGTCAGTATCTTTCTCAAGGACACAGCAGAGCATTCAGTTAAGGTTGGTAATTACTATGTGATGCTGGCGATCTTAAGAGGAGTTGAGAGAATGTATAAAAAAAAATCTAAATAAGACACATACTTTGGGGTTACATATGTAAGCTGTTTTCTGTGTCTTTCCTTCCAGTTGCCGTGCAGCCTGGAATACTGGGATGAGCTCCAGCAGGCCTTTGTTTCATATCAGGAGTTCAGCCTATCAGAGAGCCGTGCCTGCCAGCTGCAGCTGCCCAGCCTCAGCCTCATCAACCAGCAGAAGGAGTTCCTGGCCTCAGACCTGTGGAGGATAGTACTCAATAGTAACGGAGAGGGTGGAGATGAGCAGAGGTGAGGGGATATTACCCTGTGGTGTTTCCTTGTGCTGGTGTCTGTAGGTAGGAATCTGTACACCTCAGCTTATATATGAGAAAGCATGTGTGTGTGGATCTACAGTACATGTGGAATCCAGTGTGAGGGAATGCAGAGCGAGAGTGCACCCAGACCGCTGAGCACAAAGAGCTAGCAATGTGTCCCTTGCCTCACATCTGGTGTGCAGGAGCAGGGAGCGGGCTTGGAAGGCATTCAGATCAGCCTAATGAGATTTCCCAGCACACCAAGTGCCTGTCAGGGCCCATCCGGATTCCTTCCTGCTTACCTTGAGTGTATCTAATCGAGGGGAAGCTCACGGGAAACAGGAGGAGTAAAGCCCCCTTTGGGGTGGCTCTTACGTTCCTAGGCCTGGCCTGGCCTGGCCTGGGTTGGGCTGGGTTGAGTTGGGATGGGTTGGGTTAGGCTAGGCCTGCCAAGCACCATAACACCTCAAAGAGCCTGTTTTTACTCCTTTACTACCACCACTCCCTCTCTCCAGCTCTCTTATGCCACACCCAGCCCTTCTGTTACATCTTCTGTGCTTTTACCCGTTTTTCATTTCTTTGTCTTTTTGCCATTCCTTCCTCATCTTAATTTACTTTCTCTCTTCATTTTTACTTCCTTTTTTGACTTAAAAAACTTTCAGTGGAATAGAATTGCCAATCCCGCATTTTGTGTGGCTTAGGGAGCTCCAGAGGAGCAGAGAGTGAGGAATAAGAAAAAATATGTAAGAGAAGAAACAGAGAAAGAAAACTCTGCAGCACCAAATACAGTGTAATGCAAAATATACATCTGTGTTTCATTACAATCATACTCCAAACACTACTTTTCCTTTATGTTTAAATTATTTGTCTTTTTTGATCAAAATTGATTCCCCTTTCTGTACTCCCTTGTTTCATCTGCCTTGCTTTAGTTTCCACCAGAAAAATAACTTGGCTGCCTTGCCAACTGGAAGTAATGAAAATTGTCAACATATGATGCTTATCTTTTTAAGGAGCACCCTGCTGCATGACCGTTTTTCAGGTCTTGAGCATTTCCTGCTGGAGTTTTTATGGTGGATCATGGTAGCAGCAAATTACAGAGCAAATGGTCATTCACTTCAATTACCTTCCATTCAACATCATCAGCCATGACACGCAATTAATGTCCATGGAGAGGTTCTCCTGGAAACTGTGACAATAATAATGTAACCAAACTCACTGCCTCGGACAGCAGGGAGGCCCTCTTTGCATTGCTGTCTCTTTTCCTTTTCTTTTTTATGTATAATTGTGGCATTTGTCTCACTATAGTTTTCTGATGAGGATGTCACCACTTTTGTAACTTGACTGGCAAGAGACAGAAGCATTCAGCTACAAATAGAATCAGATTATTTTAATGAAGGAATAGAATTTTTGTGGCCATTACTGCACAGCTGTACTGATGCCTTTGATATTGCAAAACAAAGCTTGATTGAAAATCAATAACTATCACTGATTTTATGTATTGAAGTAAATCATTTTAAAGACTTTTTTAGCATTTTCTCACAGTCACAAATACATCAGCTGTCTGTCCTCTTCCCCTCCAGTCTGGATAGCGAGTGTGGGTCCCAGCTACCCTTCGATCAGTTGGTATCTCCCATGGCATTGGCAGCCTGCACCCGTGTGGACTCCTGCTTTGCACCGTGGTTTGTGCCCTCCCTGGGTGTGTCCCTACAACTAGCACAGCTGGAAGTTCATCTCTGCCACCATCTAGAACAGCTGGGTACAGGTAGGATACAGTAAACACATTCACAAAGTCTCTTGTGAGTTTGAAGTTTATTAAAGTTTTTAAAAGGAGATATAGCCTAGCTCTTAGATAAATTGGCTTCAGGTTTTGTTTTTATTTTACGGTTGAGGGGAAGTTCTGCCTCCTTCTTCCTATAATATTTTGGTTGGTCATGGTAACAGCAAATTACAGAAAGAAAATGCATGCAGCATCCTCACATTCTGCATCATCAAAAGCAGTTCATGGTGAAGTTCACCTGGAAACTGTGACTATAATTGTCCACCTTAAAATGATAATATACCCAAAATAATATGTCTCACCCCTTCAGTTCCACCTCGACAGCTTCGTCCCTTCCTGTCAGACAGGAAATTACCTCAAGAACAGGAGTTTACGGTGATTGGTGCTCGTGAGCCGAGGGTCTTCTTGCGTCAGTGGAGCACTGGACCACGTCACTGTCAGGAGTTTAGCTTTTCCACCCAGTTAGACTGCAAGCTTCTGGAATACCAAAACCTAACGCACCTTCAGCTCCTCCAGCCTTGTCTACTACAGGTAGAGTTCAGCTGTTTATCCTGGTTTTATGACTGTGCACTGATCAGAAAATGTGGAAAGAAGTTAATTCAGAGTATGATTTCCTTTGCATTCCAGGGTCAGGCTGCAGCCACCTGCTGCCCCCAGAACACCACATTGGATGTGAATGTGTTTGTGGACCCAGTGTTCCTCAATATCAGCCAGTATGCCATCCACACTGTGGACACTGCCCTTCACAGCTGGCAACAGGTGACAGAAAGTTCAAGCTACTGCCACACATTTTGCATTGAGCCACATTCTATAGAATACTGTACAATAAAGTGTAATCTCCATGAGCTGACATGCAGAAATGAGGCTAATGATAGATTATTGATATTGCATTCAGAGCTCTGGTGTAATGTACCATGTTAGTTCCCGAGGGCTGAAGTTTCCTCCAGGCAACTTTTCACTGCTGCGTGAGAAAGTGCATTTGAAGTGTCCAGAGTGAGCAGTGATACTTCACAAGTTAGGTTGTAAAGGACTGGAAGATGACTTATTGACTTGTACATTTAAATTTTGGGATGCACTCAGAGATGTAAGGTGACAAGGGATTTGCCCTGTTGTTTGCTCACTAGCATTTTTATATAGTCTTATTTGGAGCCAGGGGATAGTAAATCTGTAAAGGAAATCATTAGAAATATATGTGCATATAGGGACTATGCAGAAAGATGGTCTTTCGTCCCAGATGATGTGTCAGCTAAACAAACTCACAACAACAGGGATTTTATGAGAATGATTTTGGTTGTATGCCAGTGTAATGCAGGATAGAACTGCCTTTCAGTGTGCTGTAAACTCTGACTAAGAGGCTCAAATGTGTCTGTTCTTGGGCTTCTGTGGTCCTCGTCATCTCTGTTCTCAGCTCTCAGCACTGTCTCTGGTAGCCAGGATCTTGGTGTGTGAAGTGATGCCCGTGAAAATATGGTAAAGCTTGAGTGGCGACACCTGCCAAGACTTCATCTGGCCCCAGTCCTCCACCCACTTGTGTACTGCACATGCACACAGACTCATGCACACAAACACACTGGGCTCTGTGGCTTTGCATGCCCTATCATGGCCCTGCTCAGCTTAGCTGTGGCTGTGCTGATTCATATACTGGCCTCTTGAAACCTCGGGTGCTCTCATGGTTTTACATGCATGCAGACTCTCACTGCCAGGTGAGAGAAAATATTGTAATATATGTGTTTTTGTAGCAACAGCTGTGGTCTCACACTGTACCTGTGGAAAATAAAGTTAAGCAATCTGTATAGGAAAGCTACTATAAAATGACTGTTCTGGCCAGCAGTTTAATACTTTTGTTTTCACCAAGTGCCATCTCTGACTCATCAAAAGCTCTTAATCGACCATGCTGGATGATGGGTCATATTTGACCCTTGGCTCCATCATTGCATGATTTAGCTCAAGCCAGTGAATGTTCACTGATTCTGCTGGTTAATGTAACCATAAAAAAAG